AAAGGTTTCAGGGTCATGTCAGGTCAAAAGGTCCAAACCTTACTAAAATAGGAAGAAGCTTGTTGTAATTAATGGGCACAATAACTTCTAGATGTTAATCAATTCCGCTGACATGTGCCATGCTTGTACCCAGCAAACCTAATCTCTCTAATTAATCTATGTTAACATGAAAAAACACTTTGTCAAATCACAATTTTGCACCTTCTGAAATTTTTTTTATCAGTTTTACATGAAATTTTCATTTCCTTGAGAAAACAAAATCAATTCTAAACTGTACAGCTCTGCACCTGGAAATTCTCAACTCATTTTGTTAATTGATCAGCAGTCAATGCACTGTGGATAATTGATGTACTTTATAATTATAGTTATAAAATTTGAGGGTTGACCGCAAAAACTGCAGTAACTTATATGAATATAAAGAAGGACTTATAACAGTCTTGCGGTCAACCCTCAAAATATCATTGTAGAAAGGCATATTTTTGTAATGTATAAAATTGTTCTTTCTTCATCTTTTAAAAGTCAGGCAACAAGTTTACCCTAAAGAGAAATAGTTATATGTACAATACTTCTGCTACATCAAATTTCTTAAAATCTGATAATTTCCTTATATTTGAATATTATTAACATTCAAAAATAGAAGAACTTTTTGAAAGTTAGGCCCTATTCCATATACATTGTACAAGGATCATTATCATAGTGTACATGTATTTGTTTGGTTCTGATTATTCAGTGCATTTTTTATTTACAACTTGAGTTCATCTATAGACCACCCAAGGACACATTTTTTTACCTCCAGTAATTAATCGCAGCCTCATTACCTTCAAACAGATACACTGAACTAAAACCAAGTACACACCAAACTAAAACAAAATCAACACATTGCTTGCACCTGTATTACATTCTTTAAACACATTATCTAACAAAATATTTGGACAAACTCTTTTTGTTTTCTCTCTGTTAACCCATTTATTGTAATATTTTGTTTTCATTTTGGATTGAAAGAAGAGTTGGTTACATTACCTGACAATTCTATAATCAAAGGAAAATTAGCTTTTGAATTTCCCACCTTCACTTACTGAAGAGCTTGCTCAGCTGTAATGATAATTGTACCTTCTTTCATTGAAGAGCTAACAGAAGGTGTTACCATTGAAAAGTCATGATTAATAAGTCATCTGTACACAATAACAATATGGTTCGGCCAATCAACACGGATAATAACATTAGTAATAGTTAAGGCATAAAAAAGCAAGTTCCTATCTATGAGGCCTTGGAGAAGTTCCAAGAAAAATGAAAATAAAAACTAAACATCATAGGTTAATACAGTGAAAAATACATCATTATGGGAATAGCCAGTAAAACATCAAAACATTGGTTTAATATAAAGGTAATAGCACTTAAGTTCTTAAATACAGTCAAAACTGTGAACAAGGACTATCTGAGAGAGAGTTTATAATATGATGTTAAAAACCTACTGTAGTAATTGTCAAATTAAAGGTTTCAGTCGTCTTCAAGACATTTTTACTACAAAAAAAATAAAAATTATCTAAATTCAGCAGCCATTTTATAAAAGGCATTAATTATAGTCAGGCAGTACAGGTGATCTAAGACTATTGTAAATATACATATTATATAATGCTTTCTATCTTCTATCTATCTTTGCCACTAGGATTGAAAAAATATACCTTCCAAACTTTCCTTTCTTTTGTTACTTTCTTATCTCTTTTACAGACAAAATAAGACATATTTTTTTTCTTTTCCATTTCACAGAGATTAAGGAAAGAATAACAGATAGAACTGTGAGGTACTATTACATACACTTGAGAAAATTGTCTGTCAAACTCACTCAGCTAAAATGTCTTAGTTCACAACACATCAGCAGCTTAAGACAAAGAAAAAATTTAATTGTTTCTTTTCCTTTAAATAAAACGAAACATCAGTGAAAATTAGTAACAGCCGTTATGTTGACGTATATACATGAAGATTGGTAAAACAGATTTATCTAGGTGATAAGTATTCACAGAATTTTACAACAAAGAATCAAGATGGATAATGTTGTTGTTTTATTTCAGGTCTGTTAAGCAATAAGAGACACAGCATATGGTCGAAGAAACAAGCTTCACTGATGGTTCATATAGATCAAAGTGTTAATGCTAAGGTATGGAATTAATAGGCTCAAAAAAATGTTCCAGTTCATAGTTATATGACAAGTAGGTGGAGCCTAATACTTCTCATTAACATCGTGAATGGACAAGAGGTAAAACTGCATTATCATCCTAGTAGATGAGAGGGGGGAGAAATCTTGTCACTATTATTCTTTATGTATTATTGGTATGGTTCTCATACTTGAACAATTAGTGCCAGCAAAATTGCGCCTTTTATTGGTATCTTACATTATAACATACAAACACTTAACTCTAGGCCTGTTGGCAGCCACAGGTTCTACCCATGTGACCAGTGCAGACCAACATCAGCCGCTGTCAGTTCGCAGTTCACTAAGACCTGAATTTGAAATTTTCCCTTCTAACGATAAATATTTTGTCATCATTGAAAAATGTACCTTTAATGGAAAAGCACTAGGATCATCATTTATCAAACAAAGTTTTACATTTAAAAGTATTCACTTAACAAAAAATTGAACTCCTTGAAGAATAAACTTTATAGGGGCAGATCCAACTGGTCCAGTGGTGATGTGGTGAACTAAACACAAGTGATCATAGGTTTGATCCCCTACTCCACAACTTACAATACTTATTGGCTATTTATGCATTTGACTAGACCTCACAAACCAATACCCCGTTATCAGTGGTTTACACCAAGCATGTTAAAGAACCATGGTCGCCCTGGGATGGGGCAACTACTGCTCCATGCACAAAAACAACAATTTACAGATACTGATTTCTGGGGTGTTGCAAAAAACTTATGTTGGAAACCAAAATGGGACAGTAAATAAATTAAAAGACAAAAACAACAGTTAATCATAATTATATAGCTGTTAACTTCAAAATAATGTTGAACAAGTTTACAACAAGAAATTACCACTTTGTTATGTGACTAACACAAAATTCACATGAGAAATTTTGTACAAAATATTTGAATGAGGAAATAAAATAAAAGTCTTCTTGGTGATTAATTGCCTTTTTTATTCAAGAAATGATGTTAATGAAGAGTTACAGATTAAAAGTAATGGAAATAATTATAATAAGTGGGACAATTGAGTCATAAAACGCTTCCATGCTTTTTATGTCACATTTCTATCAACATATTTTGCTGTTAGGCATAATGGTACAAGTACCAACAAACCAAGCAGAAAATCTCAAAGAAAACAAATTAAATGCTTTTTTCAAACCTCAATAGATTCCTGAAATCTATTTTGATGGTGTTATTCTTCTTTCTTATGTGTTTTGCTTATACTGCAAATCAATGGAATTCATTTGACTGGTGCTGGCAGTATGCAGGCAATTTGCATTAATATCATATCCCGTTGTCTGCCTTTGAATCAAAATGTTACAAAAACCATCCATGATACTGTGATAATAAATCATGGTATACAAAATGAATATCAGCTAAATAATGATGCTGTCTATAACTATAATATAGTATAAGACATTAAAGCCCCTTGACCAAAAATCCCCTCAAAATATGACCAAAAGCTCTCTTATGGTGGACAAACTCCCCTTGAAATGACCAAAAGCATCCCATTGATGCTTTTATGTTTGCAACTTTCATCCAGGAGCTTTTCAATCATGAGACATTATTTTGTTGGAGAGGTTTTTTGATCAGCCAGTGCATTAGCATTTAAATTTGTAATGATTGTTAAAATTGATATAATTATTATCTAATGTTAAGACCTGAGGCAAAATTGTTTCTTTATATAATCATACATTTATTCACATAAAATACTTCTTTGTTGTTCTCCCCTTGCAGCAGAATTTGGTCCAAAAGGTAAAATTTTAATAATTAAGTGACCCATTTATAACAATCCCTTCTGGCCGTAGGTGTCTCTAGAATTAAATGTAGGTTTTACTTGAATATACTGTTTTGCCAAAATTTCATATAATGAAATTTGCAGTACATTTCAGCAAGAGAGCAAAAGGGTTGGCTCACAAGTCCTCCTCCTGCAACATTAGCTATGGGTATTTCCTGATAGGGTCAAGAGAACCTGCTGTTCATACAACCTGTATATTACACTAGTTGACATGGTTACATAAAGTTCTACAGCTGTTAGATGCATGTTATATAACATACACACTTTATAATACAGCTACTGGCATCTGCAAGTGGGAAAACTCTTCAATGTTAATCTAACTTGTTTCTAATTACTCCACATATTTATAAACAAACTATAATTACCCAGTAGTTGTTATAAACTTATGTTCTCAGCCAGGTAACAGAAGCTGGTTCCCGAACTGTCTCCACTACAGTTTTATTAGAGCTGGAGAGCTATGGAATGTGCAACAGTTGGCAGGGAACCAAGTTCCAAATTTGAAAAACAAATAATCATTGGGCAGATAGAAAAAAACATTGTTGGCTCTGATATTGGTATGGCAGTGTGTATTAGGGATGAAATCATAAAGCCCTGATTTTAATTTCCATTGACCAAATATATGGGTGGGTAAATTTATTGGTGCTTTGCTTAAAATTGAGAATTTTCAAGTACTTTAACTTCTTTCGACACTTCTGTGTAAATTTTTCTTAATAAGAGTTGTATAACATTTCTTGGTCATTCTCTGAATGTAAGGTGGCATGGATGAGTGATTAACAAAGTAGTATCCTGGGATTGCAGGACATGTGGGCTCAAAACCCATCAGGGGCAACCCATTGCTTCGTACCAGCAAGAAACTTTGCATTTACTGCCTAGTACTGGCTGGTTCTAAGAACAGATTCAACAGTGCGTCTGTAGCTAATAAAAGCTTCCTATACAATGAAACTGAAATAAAATATGTCTAAACAAATAAAGAATCAAATAAAGTCGTAAATTTTTTTAACAATTATAAACTTACCATCTTGGACAATGGAGAGCACTATCATGACAGGAACAGCTAGCCACACCTCTGTACCTGCCATATTGGAGTTAAAACCAGTAATGGATGAAGACCAGTAAAATTCAAGAAGTTCCTGTCTATTTGGAATGTACAGTATCAGCACAATCTAACTTTTTGTTGCCGACTCGTCTGTCACAAATTTATCCTGAAAACAGACAAAATATAAGCAAGTCTTAAAATATAAATCATGACCATTTAATCAGATACCATTGCTCATCTTTTTGACAATTTCATCATGAAAATCAATGATAAGTAAGTTGATTTAGGTAACATAATTTGCCATCCCTCGTTCAAGAAATGGAAACTGACTCAACAACCTTCTCTACAGGGAGTGTAAACTCCAGACACATAAATCTGTATTTTCATCTTCCTACAAAAAACTTTAAAAACAACTTAAAATAAAGAAAAAATTCAGAAAAGCAACAAGTTGAACTATAGTTGATTCTATCTTTTTGGCTTGCGGCCACGGCCGCAAGACATTTGTTTTGAAAAACTTGTTCCGGTTAGGTGGTTTCCTGCTTACATTTGTTAGTGCATGGTGGAATGGGAAACCAGTCTAGGTTTCCGCTGCAACCGTGACAATTCGGGCAATTCCGTCATACTGCGGAATCAGACGAAGTAGTATTACGGAAATCTAAGCTATTTTTAGTTTCTTCGGTAATCCCAGTTTGTTCTTATAAATAGGATTTTTATTTTTACTTGATTTATCGGTTTAAAGCAGAAGTAAATTATAAACGAAACCGTTTCAATTCGTTTTCAAGACGCAAAAGTTAGTTTCTTTTATGATTGATTTTTGTCTTTCTAAAAATAGCCCATGCATATCATTAACCTTACCACGTGCTGATCTACAGATAGCGCATCCTGTGTTGTCCGTATATCTGTGACATAGATATTTTAGGTGTAACATAGTTGTTATTGTTTTCTTTGGAATTTAAGACCTAATAACTGTAATGAACTGTCTTGCTTTAAATGTTAAACTTTCCATTGCGAAGTTAAATCATTTTTATTTCATTTCATTTCTTTATTTTTTTAGATTACAACTACTAACATTGAGAAGGAAATAAAAAACATTCTTGTTGCATGGTGTGCCTCTTAAAAACTGTATCTCTATATTACTGAAAGCTAATGTGATAATAGCTGCTTGGATGTTATTAAATTAACTTTCTCAAGTTGTTACATTATGCTTAATTTGATAGATTTGTCCTGCTTTGAAATTACAACAGTTACTGTACTCAGATTGACACAATGTACAAGATGTTTACATATCAAACTTCTAAAATCATGCATTAAACAGTCAACATTAAAAAATCTCAGGAAAAAGCTGTTTAGATTAGCCTCTGTACTGATGGCATAGTCATACAAATTGGATATATTAGGACATAACAAATCTTTTACAACAACTTATATGCTAAATCACTAGAGTGTCTTCACACAGAATGTGTCACAATCAGAAGTTTTAAGGAAGTGAAAACATTCAACCTTTTGAGAATCATGCTTAAAATAACACTGTTATAATCAGATTGTTAATACCTTTACATACAGTTAGAAAAATATACAAAATTTGCGCACAAATGCACTGACATTGCACCTTGAAAGTAATACAGAACTGCTGCTCCCATTCAACGAGTTATACTGAGCTTAAAGATCAAACTTGGAAAAGTCATTTAACTTAATGATCCTAGATCTAATGCGTAACTTAATCGTCCTTGAAAAATCCCGATATTTTTAGTCTATATCAATGTTTTCATCTACGATATTATATTTTCTTTCAGCTATATTGCAGCAGATGTTTTGTGTTCAACCTCTAAAGCTGATACCATAAACATGTGATAAAAACATAAAAATCTAATATTTTTATTCTTGATATAACATCTTAACCGAGATTAACAAATAATCAGGGAAAAAAGTATATGTATATTAAACATTATACCATACTGGAAAAATGAAAAACTTCTCACATATGTCATCAAACAGCAGGAAAGAATTTTTCAATTAAGGGGGCACACTGGTTTTTCAATTATAAACCAAAAGGTCTAAAGATCGTGTAATAGATAAAGGGCCACAACTCATGCTTCACTTGATTTAACATCAAGAGTTCACTTACATGACAGATAGGTTGCCAGTCAGAAATTGTAAAATGACCCCAGTCTGCAAACAACCTAATCAAAAATACCCATAATTCATCTGTCCATTACTCCCATAATTCATTTCTGCAATGTCCAAGATGGCCGCTTTCACAGCATGCTCTTGTTAAATTCTAATTTTCCCAAGATTCTTGCAAATTGTTTTCTGATTGCCAACTAAGTTCTGACACATTTCCAAAATACTTTCCATCATTTGTAGAATTTATCAGATAATTTCTATATTTCAAAGGAAGTGTAAAAACTAAATATCAGGAATCAATAAATCTATTGTAACTGATATGATTAGAGAATCAACAGTCTCTATATGAGTCAACATCAGCCATAAAACTGTGCAACTTGGGACTGGAATATACATTTCTATATACTTCATTAATTTTGATTTGCAAAACTATACTTATAAATCAATTCAAGCACAAAATTTCTGATTTAAAAAAGTGATATTTTCAAATTGTTTTAAAAAATTACAGTCAAATATAAAACTTCATAATTGTATACATGTATTTTCAATTTCCTATTAGATCTATGAATAAGTGAAAGTTTCAAAATTGATAATAAGTAATTCATCATTACTTATAAATATGAAATTTTAAACTCAAATATACTTAATTATATGAAAGGAAAATACCTCCCTGGTTTAAACTCCTAAACATAAATTGAAGAAACAATACTGCTCAGTACGCTATACTAAAATTTGACAAATTAATACAACAAATTGGTATTTATTCAAATATGAACTTGCTGTTCATTTCCCAGGGACTTAAAAAAAACCACCTCAATTCTTAAATTAAGCAACAACAAAAAATATTCTATAACTCACAACGACAAGAAAATTTCTATAACTCAGAAACATTTAATCATATTTTATCAAATCAAAGACATGTATTTCATCCCAGCGATCAAAGCGTTTGGTTTACAAAAGAGAGCATCATTTTTTCCTCAAACTCCTACTCTGACAGTGAGCATCTGAAGAAAATTAAATTTTCAACTATTTTAGATGTTTGCTCCACGGAACATAAGATTTATGACTACATCATTAAATATCAGTTTATCATTGGTCATGAAAAATCTCAGCTTTGAAGTTTGTTTGTGTTTTTTTCTCTCTCTCTCTCAATGACACAACTCCTCTGGTTTTTCTTTTAGTCATTTGACAACACATTGCAGGTTACATGGCAAAATTGTGATAACTTTTCTAACTAAATGAACCAAGATACTTCAGTTTTTCAATGGACTGGACTCCCTCGAATATCCAGAATTTCTTTTTCTCTCCAAGAAGATTTTAATGGATATGTTTCACAGGAAGATACATTGGTTAGAGCAGAATGGTTCCCATCAAAGTTTGACAAGATTGGTTCCCAAACCATCAATCACTTGGAGAAACAGTTTTAAAACCAATAAATATGTATCCAGACTGGATGAGAAAGTTCATATGGTCAAAAATACATGGTGAAATTATCTACAAGATTTATCACTAATGGGAGCAACAACTTACAAAACATTGCCAAATAACTGTCCTCTAACTACCTTATTGTTACCTAGGGCAGTAAAGGGTTTTTCCTGGTCCTCCGGGATCATTGATGCCTGAGCACTATTAAGTGTTGAGAATTGAGTGACGCTCAAGCCGGTGCTTAGAGGGGGCGCGAGGGATGTTGCACTAATTCATTTTCCCTCATGTACAGACTCAATCAAACAGTCTGCAACTCTCATGTAATTTTAATGTGATTAATGCTTCCTGATTCCAGATTTTTAACATAATATATTAAAAGTTTGCAAGGAGTTATCCCATTACTGCACTTCCGTGACAAAATAATGATTCTATTTATATAAACAATCTATTTTTATAATTGAAACTAGTGTGTGACCTGTAACTTAAGTCTTTAAAGGGTACAAATCCACTGCTACACGACTTTATCAAAAGTAAGTGTCTTTCCAATCAATGTATTGGTGCAGTCTGCAGTTCTGAGTATTAAAGAACTTGTGATTACTTCTGGAATAAAGAATTTCTGTATTACTTTCACTAATTACAAGAAACACTATAATCTCCTTATTTTCAACCCAATCACAATTATAATTCACAGCTTCAACAAAATTCTCTCAGAGACAGTACATGCAGGTAAGTCACTCATGTCATCTGAAGCTCTGGCATTGAAACTTGATGGCACGAGTAAATCAAACACAACACAATTGACTTTCAACATGCATCATCAACTAAATGTTCCACGCATTTTCCTAGAAAAACTTAATAAAGATTCCTTAATTAAAGATTAAATATTGCTAATTAAAGCATTGAGTCTTCGTAATGTAATTTAATGGTAGCATGTAAAGTTCACAAATCAATACCAATATTTCACATTACAGGGAGATTTTTCTATTTCTATCCCTGGTAAAGGTTGATAACTCTTTCTTATCTGATAGGAAAAGATAAATTCTAATTGATTTTACATGTGAATGAAAGTGAGAGATGAGATATTTAAATAACTCAACTCCGGGGTGGTATTATATCATTGTGAGTATTATAGATTTTGATAGAGTTAGATCAACTGAGCAATCTATTTGAGCAATCTATTTCTCTAGCTGCAAACAGGTTACTAACTTACAGCAAGCTCAATGATGACTCATTATTTGTAGTAAATTTGCTGCAAAATGAGGATGCAAGTATTAAATCAGATAAATTCATAACTTGAAATTTAAATTCACCCCAACTGGTTCTAACTTCTGTCTACTTCAATATTACATACAATTTGATTCCCATCAAAAATCCAGATACAATTACTTGCATCCCTATTAGAAATCCTGATATATGCTTTGGTGTATCCCAAACAGAAATGCTGATACATGCTTTGGTGTATCCCAAACAGAAATCCTGATACATGCTTTGGGGTATCCTAAACAGAAATCCTGATACATGCTTTGGGGTATCCTAAACAGAAATCCTGATACATGCTTTAGTGTATCTTAAACAGAAATCCTGATATATACTTTGGGGTATCCTAAACAGAAATCC